GGGGCCCGGGGGTCGCGGTGTCCCCGCCCGGCCGGGGGCGGCTCCGGGCCCGGCACGACCCCGGCGGCGGCTCCGCGCTCACCTCCGCCATGGCCGAGCGCGAGCGGCAGGGGGCGCGGGCCCCGGATGCGGCGGCGGCCGCTCATTGGCTGCGGCACCTCGGGGGTGGGGCCGGGCCCGGGGGCGTCCGAGGGTGCGGGTTTGGGGTCCCGGGTTCGGGTCCCGGCGGGGCCGGGCGGGCTCTGGGGCAGGGCCGGGGTTCGGGCCCGGGGCCGGGGGGGTCCTGCCCCGCCGCGCCGGCACCGCCCGGAGGCGCCGCCGAGGAAGGGGAGCGGCGGTGGCCGCAGGAGCGCTCCCCGAGCGCCGGCCGGGCCGTTTGACCGCGGCCGCCGCTGTGGCTCCGGCTCCGCAGAGCCTCGCAAGGAGATGAATGACCCGGAGAGCGGCTGTGGCCCGGCTGTGGCCCGGGCAGCGCAGGACCCGCCGGGGCGGGCGGGTGTAAAGGCCCAGGGAAGGTGCACAGCTCCGCTGGGGCCAGTCTCAGGAACACACTGGGGACCACGCACGTCAGAGGAAAAACAGTGCTTACAACCCCAACCTGTGCCTCCTTCATGGATCACAAACCTTGAATCTCCAGGAAACACCTTCAGTGATACTCGTGGGGCACTTCGTTGATAAAAAGTCACTGCATCTCATTTAGCAGTTACACAAGAGGGAGATCAGGGTGGGAGCCCAGGGGTGGTCCATGCCTCACAAGGACTGGGATGTAAACGCTGTCTCATGGTTCCTTGCTGTGGGTGTGCTTGGAGGACCCCAGAGATGCACTTGTGGAAGCTGCTCGATGGGTCTTTCCAGTTCTGTTTAAGTGATGATGACCACACGCTTCCAGAGAGCAATCCTCCAGCATGCTTTGTCCTTTAGTGTCCCCCATCTCCAGGGCTTCCTGTGGCAAATGGCCCTGCCAGGGAGCCCCGGCCTCTCAGGGATCCCCCAGGCCCCTCAGGGACCCCTGGCTGGGCAGCAGGGCAGCGCTTCCCTCACGGTGTTTGGTGATGAGCTGCCAGTGCCACCGGCAGGATGCTCAGGGACATTTACCACAAGATCTCACCATTTGATCAGATCCTGTGGATTGTCATCCCGCTCACGCCAATGCCTGTGCCTGGATCTGCAGCTGTGGAGCTGTGCTTGTGGAAGCCTCATGCTCAGTTGCTGGGAGCAGCCTCCTCACTCTGGCAGTTGGCTCCATGCTGGGTTTCAATCACACTTTTGAGCTCAGGAAGCAAAGTGTTATCAAGTGCTTCTGAAGTGGTGGTGGCCCTCGAGCTGAGAACCAGAGCACTTCACCAGGCCTTTGTTCCATTGCTCAGAGCTGTCTGGCTCTTCTCAAAGGACTAACAGCTTGCAGATGCTATTTGTTCAATTAAAAGAGTAACCTTGTCTCTGGCTTCAGAGAAATGTATGCAAAAACTGCTTTCTGCCTTCCTCCCAGCAGTGCATCCAGGTGTTCTGTCGCCACAAAAAGCAGAAAGGTCAGGGTTTTGAGTCAAGGCCTGGAGTTTGGGTCAAGACCTGGGTTTTGGTTTAAGGTCTGGTGTTTGGGGTTAAGGTCTGGGGAGAACTCCCCTTGTTATTGAGGGTCTGCCCTGGAGCAGTGCCCCTGCCAGCTTCTGCTGCTCCATTTAGTGCTTGCAGTGACAACTGCCCGGCTGAGTCTCTTCAAGCAGCTGCACTTCCCTGAGGGAGCAGTGAAACACTTGTCAGGAGACACCTCCATTGCTGAGTACATAAATTTCCATCCCCAGAGTGACCAGCACACATCCTGCAGCCCTACCAGGCTCTGCAGGCAGCACATCACCCGTCCCTGGAGCTGGTCAGTGTGTGAGCAAAGGCAGCCCTGCATCAGTACCCTAAGTCAGAGACATTAGTACCTGACATTCAGTACTTTGAGATTTTCAAAGGCAATAAAAAAAGCCTGACAGGCATTGGAATATCAGGTGGTTCACGCTCTCCAGGTGTTTGTGAGTGATTAGTCATGACACTCCTGACAGCAGCAGTTGTACAGTTGCTGCTCTGTGGACAAAGACAACAAATCACAGAAGGTTGAAGTGGCTTTGGCTTAATCTGGGGCTGATTTGCCTGTAAAACTGGACTGGCCCTATGTCCTGCCCTCCTTTCTCTCCTCCACCTATACCCTGCCTATTAAGCAATGCTGCTTCTTGGAAAAGCTTTGCAGCCCTGAGACAAATGGCAAACTCTTTTTCACTTGATGCAGGTCAGCCATGGGGTGTTTAGCTACAGGGGATTGTAGATATAAACAAGTTTACATGGGTTCAAAAAGGAATGTTGATAGGAAAAAAATTGCATCAGTATTGGTAAAGGACTGACCCATGTGTGGGAAGGGGGAGGTTTGTGTCAGGCTGTGGGAAGGGAGAGGTTTTTGTGGGGCTGTGTCGTGCCACAGGTGCAGGCTGGGCTCAGTGCTGAGGAGGGCACAGAGCTGCTTGGACAAGCTCTGACTATAAAGAAACTCCGAGTTTCCGGTTGGTTGAGGCTGTTGACAGACATAACAGCTTCAATGCTTAACAAAGCTGCTGTGAATTAGGCTTCAGAGAAGCACCAGTTTTCACCAATGCTAGATGGAGCTCTGGTACTCACAAACACCACACTCCTGTAGGCTTTCAGACAAGTGTTTGTACTTCCGAAGGTGTTCGTGTCTCAGGATCCACCGTGGCTGTCAGATGTCCAACACAGCTTACAGGGGCCTTTTCCAGGTTTGCTGAGGCAGTAAGGCCAGGTGACAGGATGGGTGGGTCAAGGTGAGTGTCATGGCTACAGAGTTCCATTCTTGTCCTGTTCTCCTCCCTCTCTTCTTCCACTTCATCACAACCTACAGATGTGGTTTATTTACAGTCAAAATACTTACCATATCATGGTCTCTGCAGGGCTCACAAAAATGGGTGCAGTATCTACAGATGTAAATTCAGTGCAGCCATGGGCTTGCACGCTAGGGATGAGTCGGGAGAGTCAGATAATGGCCAAGCTGCCATCCCGTGTGCTGGAACACCAGCTGGCACTGCAGGGGCAGGCAGGAAGATGTGGTTTGACAGCAGTTCGAATAGAGACGCCAAGGGTTTGCAGTTTCTCAGCCTTTGCGCTGGCACAGCTGCCACATAAACCACCCATGGGATGGTGAATCCTTTCAGGATGTCGACGCTGTGAAAAGGCCAGCGCTGAGAGCACAGGGATGTCTTCCCTCGCACACCCTGATGAGTGGTAACAGCCAGAGGTCCAGCCGAGGGGACAGCAATGCCACACAAAGCCTCTGCTGCCGAGGGACACACTGCCTGCTCACTGGCATATTGTGCAGTGCCCCCCTCACCTGCTGCTTCCCCAAAACCGCTCAGCTCCTGTGGGATTGATCCTGCAGCCTGTGAAGCTCCTGCTTTTGAAACATACGCTGAAGGCAAATATTCCTTGCTGGTGTCAGTAATCAATAGCAGGTGTTTGACGAAGGATGCATGGAGGCCAGCCATGCCTGGACTCGGGAACCTGTGCCCCTGTGCCATGGTGCAGGGTGTTCCCAGGAACCCCTCATCAACCCAGCTGGGGGGGGCTCATCCCCAGCCAGCCTTGAGCCTGTCTCTGCCAGCCCTTGGCCGGACACACGTATGTGTGTACCCGTGCACATGTTCCTGAGTATCCCCACACACTCACCCCTTCAAACATCCCCTTCCCCTGGGCCTGGGGGGGCTGCTTGTGTGTCACTCCAAGCTGGTGACACCAGGAGGGAGCTAAACGAGGGAGCACTGATGAGGAACTCATTAATTCTGGTGCCTGTCAGCCTCACAGGATGATAAAACACTGCATCCCTCTGGAGCAGTGGGATGCAGTGGCGGGACTGGGAAGGAGCAGTCCGGCCATCCCGCACCCCTCCCGCTGCCGGCCTCCCATCCTGCACCCCTGTGTCCTGACACACAGCTTGCATCCAGCCCCCATCTTCCCCTGGCAGATGACCCAGGAGGGGTGGGAAGGTTGCAGGGTGGATGAAGGCCGCTGAACATGTGGGTTCTCAGCTGGGTTTGTGCAGGCAATGTATCCACCACAGCTGCAGCCTCGCAGCAGCAGCTCTCTGGGGTTTGAAGGGGCACACAGAGCAGGGATGCTGCCCTCCTTTCAGCCCCGCACAGCCAGAGGTGCCTCAGCACAGCTGGAGTATGACTGTGTGCCCACAT